GTATGGCACTCCCCTTGGCATGTGCCAAGCTTGGGGGAGGTGCCTCGGTATCGTATCACCATCACTTTTATCTTTACCGTTTTTCTTAGTTCGATCCTTTTGGTAATATCTTGATCTGGTAGCATAAAGTTTTAGTATGATCTAGTTGTGAGTTTTGCTTTATGATCCCTCTATGTAATCGAGTCCGTGAGCTATATATAATAAAGATTAGTGTTGAGTCAAGGGCTTGATTATTTTGTCATGATCCTAAGTGGATAAAAGAAAAGAGTAATAAATAAAAAAAGGAAACAAAGAGATCATATGGATCTTATGGAGAGTAATGAGCTCACATAGAAAAAGTATGATGAATAAAAGTTGTTGAGAGTTGACAAACATAGTTTTGGTCATCGTTGCAATTAATAGGAAGTAATAAAGAAAGAGAGGTCTTCACATATAGATATACTATCTTGGACATCTTTTATGATTGTAAGCACTCATTAAAATATGACATGCTAAAGAGTTGACGTTGGACAAGGAAGACAACGTAATGGGTTATGTTTTCTTACATCTGAGATAAATTATATTGTCATGGATCATCCAACATGGTTGAGCTTGCATACTACTTTTGCTTCCAAATACCCTTAAACCAGTTTTGCCATGAGAGTCCACCATACCTACCTATGGATGAGTAAGATCCTCCAAGTAAGTTGTCATCGGTACAAGCAATAAAAATTTCTCTCTAAATATGTATGACTTATTAGTGTGGGAGAAAATAAGCTTTATACGATCGTGTGATATAGAAGAAATAAAAGCGACAGACTGCATAATAAAGGTCTATATAACAAGTGGCAATATAAAGTGACGTTCTTTCGCATTAAGATTTTGTGCATCCAACCATAAAAGCGCATGACAACCTTTGCTTCCCTCTGCGAAGGGCCTATCTTTTACTTTTATCTCCTACCTTGCATAAGAGTCATGGTGATCTTCACCCTTCCCTTTTACATTTTATCCTTTGGCAAGCATAGTATGTTGGAAAGATCCTGGTATATATGGCTAATTGGATGTGAGTTTTCATGAACTATTATTGTTGACATTGCCCTTGAGGTAAAACGTTGGGAGGCAAAACTATAAGCCCCTATCTTTCTTTGTGTCCGATTAAAACTCCATACCCATAAGTATTGCGTGAGTGTCAGCAATTGTGAAAGACTATATGATAGTTCAGTATGTGGACTTGCTGAAAAGCTCTTATATATTGACTCTTTCCTATGTTAATAAATTGCAATTGCTCCAATGACTGGGATTATAGTTTGTTAGTTTACAATGAAGTTTACGATTCATACTTGAAATTGTGATTGAATTATTACTCTAGCATAAGAAATCATATGACAAGAATTATGTATGTTGCTTTGCTAAGATTCATCATGATGCCCTCATGTCCGTATTTTACTTTTATCGACACCTCTATCTCTAAACATGTGGACATATTTTTCGATTTCGGCTTTCGCTTGAGGACAAGCGAGGTCTAAGCTTGGGGGAGTTGATACGTCCATTTTGCATCATGCTTTTATATCGATATTTTATTGCATTATGGGCTGTTATTACACATTATGTCACAATACTTATGCCTATTCTCGCTTATTTTACAAGGTTTACATAAAGAGGGAGAATGCCGGCAGCTGGGATTCTGGGCTGGAAAAGGAGCAAATATTGGAGACCTATTCTGCACAGCTCCAAAAGTCCTGAAACTTCACGAAAGAAGTTTTCAGAATATATAAAAAATACTGAGCGCAAGAAGTTCACCAGGGGGGCCACACCCTGCCCACGAGGGTGGGGGCGCGCCCTACCCCCCTGGGCGCGCCCCCTACCTCATGGGCCCCCTGGTGGCCCTCCGATGGCCATATTCTGCTATATGAAGTCTTTCGATGGGAAAAAAAAATAGAAGCCATCTTCTCGGACGAAACTCCACCGCCACGAGGCGGAATCTTGACGGAACCAATCTAGGGCTCCGGCGGAGCTGTTCTGCCGGGGAAACTTCCCTCCGGGAGGGGGAAATCATCGTCATCACCAACGCTCCTCTCATCGAGAGAGGGCAATCTCCATCAACATCTTCACCAGCACCATCTCCTCTCAAAACCCTAGTTCATCTCTTGTATCCAATTCTTGTCTCCAAGTCCGGGATGGGTACTAGTAGGTTGCTAGTAGTGTTAATTACTCCTTGTAGTTGATGCTAGTTGGTTTATTTGGTGGACGATCATATGTTCAGATCCTTTATGCATATTAATACCCCTCTGATTATGAACATGAATATGCTTTGTGAGTAGTTACGTTTGTTCCTGAGGACATGAGAGAAGTCTTGCTATTAGTAGTCATATGAATTTGGTATTCGTTCGATATTTTGTTGAGATGTATGTTGTCTCTCCTCTAGTGGTGTTATGTGAACGTCGACTACATAACACTTCGCCATTATTTGGGCCTAGAGGAAGGCATTGGGAAGTAATAAGTAGATGATGGGTTGCTAGAGTGACAGAAGCTTAAACCCTAGTTTATGCGTTGCTTCGTAAGGGGCTGATTTGGATCCATATGTTTCATGCTATGGTTAGGTTTACCTTAATACTTTTGTTGTAGTTGCGGATGCTTGCAATACAGGTTAATCATAAGTGGGATACTTGTCCAAGTAAGGGCAGTACCCAAGCACCGGTCCACCCACATACCAAATTATCAAAGTACCGAACGCGAATCATATGAACATGATGAAAACTAGCTTGACGATATTCCCATGTGTCCTCGGGAGCGCTTTACATCATATAAGAGTTTGTCTAGGCTTGTCCTTTGCTACAAAAAGGATTGGGCCACCTTGCTGCACTTTATTTACTTTCGTTACTTGTTGCTCGTTACAAATTATCCTATCACAAAACTACCTGTTACCACTTATTTCAGTACTTGCAGAGAATACCTTGCTAGAAATCGCTTATCATTCCTTCTGCTCCTCGTTGGGTTCGACACTCTTACTTATCGAAAGGACTATGATAGATCCCCTATACTTGTGGGTCATCAGCCGCCGACGAGAAGGACGGCGATGGACGACACCAGAGGCTTCTGCAGAACCGCCGCACCCCCTCATGCTGCAACCATTTACAAAAAAGCTTCATCCCCTAGATGAAAAGCTTCAACCGTATGTAGAGAAAGCTACAAGGTCAGTGTCATCCCGGGGAAGCTACAACCGTTGACATAAAATGCTACAACCTTTGGTGAAAAAGCTTCATCCGAAGCGACACAAAAAGCCTTGACCAAGCGGCGCTAAAAAACTAGCTACAACCATTTGTAGAAAAGCTACAACCATTGATAGAAAAGCTTCAATCGTAGTTGGAAAAAACTCCGACCATTGAGAGAGAAAGCTACAACTAGACACTATGCAAATCAGAAAAGTTGCAACCGCTAACAGAAATGCTTCAATTGTATGTGTGAAAACCTTCAACCGGCGACCGACCGTTTGTTGGTTTTGCTACAACCGTTTGTTGGTTTGTTGGTTTTGGTACAACCGCTGGCAGACGTCGAGGGGTACAACCATGGTGTTTTTTTGCTACAACTCTTTGTTGGTTTTGCTACTTCCGGCGTGCAGAACCTTGCAACTCTGGTGACCCTCGACTGGACGGTGGTGGAGGCATTGCAGAACCTGTTGCACGCGCTCATGCTACAACCGCTAACCAAAAAGCTTCAAACGAGATGAAAAAAAGCTTCAACTAGATATATGAAAAGTTGCAAGCAGTCATTGCCATGTCGGAATGCTACAACCGTTGACATAAAATGCTACAACCCTTGATGAAAAAAGCTTCAACCGAAACGATAGAGAAAACATTAACCAAGACTGCTACAATGAAAAATAGCTGCAACCGTTGATAGAAAAGTTTCGACCGTAGATGCAAAAAGATACAACCATTGAAAGAGAAAGCTACAACCATACACTGCATAATAAGAAAAGTTGCATCCGTTGTAGAGAAAGCTTCAATCGTATGTGCGAAAAGCTTCAACCGGCGTGCGTTGCCACCGGAGCTGCAATCACAGTTGATGGCCTGGTAGCCGTCGTCGACGCAATTTCATGCAGCGGTGGGCATCAATGGCGAGTCGCGACGGCGGAGCTACAACCGGGGAGAGCTACAAGCGTCGCCACTGCGAGCTGCAACCGCATATGTAGTTTGTTTCATGCGTCGCGGCGACGATGAGGATGGCCGGCGAGGGTTGGAAGCGGCGACGGGGATGGGCGGCGAGGGTGGGGACCGGCGACAGGGATGGCCGGCGAGGGTGCGGACCGGCGACGAGGATGGCTACCGGAAGGGCTAGGAGGCGCGGCGCGGCGCAGCCCGAGTGAGGGGATCGAACCCGAGGAAGAAGAAGCTAGGGCGATTTTTTTTGCTCCAGATCCAACCGCTGCGCGGCTCGCATCGGGCGGCTAGGGCTAGACCGGCCGAAATTTTTGGCCGGTGCGCCAGCGCCTAGCGGTGCCCATAACTTAATCCCTACAAACTGTGAACATAATTTTTTCACACAAATTCATTTGAAACACGTATGTAAACCATTTCCTTTTATAATTAAAGAACTAGACTAATTTAACATCAAATATAGAATACTAGTACAACTCATTACCTATTACATTACTACCGCATTGACATTGAACTAGCAAAAACATCAATACATTTAAAACAAAATAGAGGCTAGCCAACTCGCATAGTCAGGGCTCCCCCGATCACTTCCTTCGATGGCCGTTCGATTGTGGTCAGCGTGGTCTTTTTTTGGTTCCTGCTCGTTGGATCTTCGCTGCGGATTGACTTGTGCATTTTCACCGTGCGGTAGATCCTGGCCGGGGAATGACTTCTGGCCCTCGCGCTAGATCGGATTGGCTGGGTGCCAGTTTTTTGGGTGCGGGCGGCCGCACGGCGTGCGCACGCGCGTAGAAACCCTAGCCGCCAACCCTTTTCGTGCCCACTCCGCCTCGTTCTCCTCCACGCTCGCTCCTATCCTCCCCCATGCCGCCGCCCCCTTCCCCCCACTCGCCTCTGCCGCCTCCTCTCCTTCCCCGCACCTCTGGCCTCCCCCCTCCTCCCTCCTCCTCCATCCTCCCTCATTCGTCATCACGGCAGACCATCTCCCGTCACTTGGGCCCCATGCTGGCGGCCGGGTCGGGGTGGAGGCGCAGCAGGGTTGCAGGGGCCCTACGTGTACTACCTCTACAGCCAGTACGGGTTCGACAAGGGCGACATCGGCCGCCTCTTCATCGCCGGCTTCGGCTCCTCCATGCTCTTCGGCACCATCGTCGGGTCGCTCGCCGACAAGCAGTGCGTGGTTGCCCCTTCCTTCCTTGGCGGAGTTGCGTTGATTTCGTCGGTATGCCCCGATGGCTGATGAGGGTTTGGGTGGTCGTTCGCAGGGGAAGTAAGAGGGCGTGCATCACCTACTGCATCACCTACATCATCAGCTGCATCATGAAGCACTCGCCGCAGTACATGATTCTGATGATTGGCCGTGTGCTTGGAGGCATTGCAATATCGCTGCTCTTCTCGGCATTCGAGTCGTGGCTCGTCGCGGAGCACAACAAGGTAACTGCTCTCACCCAGATCTACGTGCCTATCAGTATGTTGTGTTGTCCAGCTTCAGCTTCGTTCAGAAATGACCCTTCTGTTCCCGCTTACTAATTAGCTATATCTACATCTTTGGATATTGTTGTGCCTTTAATTATGTGTATTTGCGTTAGTGCTCAGCATACAAGTGGCGTGCTGAAGCTAACCAAATTTCATTGTATCAGGGAGAGTTGACTGCTGTACATGAGACCCAGGCGAAAATGAGTGTGCTAGCGGAGGCTCCGGGGATGCAGGGTGATAGGGCCCAGTCTATGCTCCGGTTGTGTTGTTGGGTGAGCTTCTTCACCCTTCCGGTTGTGCTGTTGGTTCCAGTCTATGAGCAATTTTTTTTGTTTATTACTGTCTACCAAATGCTCAGATCTAGCTAGGCTTCCATATAGAATTTTTTAAGCTTTTAAATTTGTTGTGTGCCTCGGATAAGTTACTGCAAATGGGATTATTGTTCCTGCTCAGGAGATGCTCTCTGACCTGACTAGAGTCATAGAAAGATTTTTTGTTGCCATTCTTAGTTTGTTTGGTACCTTGCTCTTTCCTTGTCAAGAAAGGGATCAATTTGTCCTAGAGCTCCTGTCCCCTTTATAAAGGAGGTTTTTGTTCCTTTGCTTGATGTGTTTCCCTCCTTTCAATTGTAGGATTTTCAAGATGGGCCTTCCTATCCATAAGTTTGTCTTTATACTGCATATTAATTCACTCTTTTGGGTAGATAACTAAACTCCTGTAACTTTAGATAATCATTGAACTTGTCTTTCCCAATCCGAGTTTTGCTTTACAACAACTTGATTGCTTGTGTATTTGTGTAGTTTTCTGCATATTCATACAGCTCTGAATGTTGTTCCGTTCCTTGATAAATACATCACTCTACAAGGTTGATTAAAGAAGTTAACTCTTCTTCATAGCAGTTTTTCAAATGCCCTGATGGGATGACCCTAAACATGGATAGTTTAACTTGGTATATCAGCTCAAACACCTGATCTGCAAAATGGAGTTCCATTGGCCCTAACTGCTGTTCTAAATCCTTCAAAAAGAAAAAAAGTGTTATACTAAATAAACTATCTGCTCTATTATTTTTATTTTTAGTCTTGCTTCCATCCATCTATATATAGTACCATGGGTAGCTACAGCAGTGATGCTCTTTCTTTCTCTGTAGGGAAGCTTCGGACGGGATTTAGATAAGGAAAAGGAGACCCGTGCGAAATCGAGCGTCCTGGTGTTGGGACTGATGATCCGCACTTGTTGTCTAAATGCAAAACATGCGCATTGCAGTGGTAATGTTCTGAACTGTCCCTGTGTATTCCTTAGTTAGATGTCTAATAAACCAAGAATTTGACACTTGTCAGTAAGTTCAGTATATCATTGTCTACTTAGACAAAATACATCATGGTCAAACAATACAAATATTTCACAGGTAGAAAAAGCATACAAATATTCCCGAACGCTGTCATCTATATCTTGCTGAATGTACAGAACTATTGGTCAGTTAATTCTCTCACACATCAAGCTACAAATTCAGTGTTTTCTTTCACATGGGGCTTTGCTGGTTTACATTTAATTCATGCATCATATATGTTGTTTAGTTCAGACTTGTGCATGTGAATGCATTGGCATTGATTTAACAAAGATATAGCATGGTTCTGTACATAAAATAGTATGACTATGCATGATCTATGAATAAATGCTCGGATATAGTTAGTAGTGAGATAGTAGGAGTATCATGGGCTTACAACTTCTAGATATCATTAATATTTAATGGACTGTCGTTGTTTAAAAATATGGAATGTTCTTTCAAGAACTGTTAATCAGTGTTGGTATGAGTATTTCTTAGAGTTTGGGTTGCATGGATGTACATTACAGTAGCAGAGGTGCTTATTTTACTTTGTCCATAAGTGGGGCTTTTACTTATTTTTGTTCACAATTTTTATCTAGCTTTCTATCAGTACCGACGACCACAAATGGGATGGATCGAGCAACCAAGACTCAGAGTGTGGTTGACAGTGCGGCCTGCTCCCAACCCTGCAGGTGCCTTACTGTACCATGCCGTCTCCTGCGTGCCATGCCCCTCAAACCCAACCATCAAATGAACCATGCCATGGCTCAGCCGCCTCAATTTTTAGCGCCAACAACGCTTTTCCCTAACAAGTTTGCTTAGCCATGGACAGTGAGGTCGCCCTTCTCTGATTTTCTCCGATTTCTTCATTTTCAGTTGTGATGTTTGGAGCAAGTATTAATGGTGATAATGATCTAAAATAAAATAGACCAATGGTATACACAAAAGGATACAGTAGGGGCCAATTGGGTGCCTAGCTTCTTAAACCAATGATATATATAAAATATTATTTGAGTAGAATAGGAGAGATGCAATTTGATGAATAGTTCAGCATTTGTAAGAACTTTCCAGCTTACCAAGTGGACTTGACAAGCTCATGTGTAGGCCTTCAGGTGTCAAAGTTTGTCTGCAAAATTTATCTTGTTTTAGTATGCTCAGAACAACTAAAGAAACACAATCATGATTTTAACAAAAGTTAATTGGACATTATCTTGAATTTCATGGTACACCATCCATTTTTCGAGGGAGTAGAGGCATCATGGCGTGCAACATTTTAGTTTTTTCTTAGCTACCTGGCGCCTATATTTTTGAAAGGTATAAATATCTTTAACTCTCATGAATCCTTATATTATTACGGCCATATGATAGACTCGTCCAGATTAGTTATTTTAGCTATGTATGTGCAGTGTTGGCAATACATGGGAGTGTAGTTTTTGCTGCATGTGTAGTTCTATGTTTGGCCCTTTGATCTTGAAAAACAACCGCTTCTTGCCGCTCTTCAAGATATGTCTTTTGGGACAATTTCAAGTGCCTCACTACCTCTACACATGGATCCTGTAGGTATTTCCTAATGTAAGTGACATTGTTTTCCTTCTTTATGTACCTGGACAGGAGTGCTCATGAGGATGACGAGATGATACTGAACTCAATTTCAGAAATGGAATTGGGGCCTGGGGTTTGGACCCCGCCCCTCATTAGAAGTGCCCAGGCGGCATGTCACAGTTTTTTGCTGAGAATTTACTAAGAACAATTTTTGCTTGTCTTTAGCATGAGGCTATAAGCCCTATAGCAGTTCCAGTGTGATGGTCTACCACTTGACTAGGAAGGGGGGATTGAAAGATAGCACTTGTCGTTTGGAGCAATTAGTATTGGATATTTGAGGAAGTAAATGTTTAAACCACTAACCTTATATTCTTTTGTGAAAATGTTATGTGTTTTTTAATCCATTAGCAGAGTTAGTTTGTCTAAAATAACTAACTATCTGGAGTAATATGGAATGATAAAAATTTCAGAACTAGATGTAAAATTTGATGCGCCTGGCTTTGTTTAACTTGCAGTCTGTATTTCTAATATCTTCTTTGTTGCCGAGGTTGCTTCTAGGTTTTATTACTGTGGATCTAATTTAGATAATTTGTAAATAATCCTATGTAGGAGTATGCTCATCTATAATAGTTGGGGAGGGAAATCGTATGAATTACGTATTTTGTCAAACATTGGCATTACTATATGCATAAATCTAAATTATTGTTCATAATGGATTCACCACTGCTCTACATAAGCTACATTTGCTATGTATATAAGCTGAATTAGTAGCACTACTTCCTGCTTTCTTGCTTGCAATACCATGTATTACCTCTTTACTTTGTTCTCCACATTTTAAATTTTGTCTTTCTTTGCAAGTATAGTTGCCAACTTATGGTCTGCATTGTGTATAACCGAAATGATTGTAGTTTCCTAATACCATTGTCTATAACCGAAATGAGTAGTTTCGTAATACCAAAGCATGTGCGCTCACGTATTTGTCTCTTAGTGTTGCTGAATGCATGAAAAACATGCCCATGGCCAAAAGTTAAAAAAGTACGAGAAATTGGGTTTTCATTTCTCTTAGAATTGTACATGTTCATGTTGTTGTCATTTTTTCCGAAATTTAGACAACTCTTTTTGCTTAATAATAGTTTACCGATTTCAGTGCATCCTATATATATATATGTTTTGACTGATTGGTCGTCCTCTCATTCGGACTTACTCAGTGTTGCATTTGTGTGTTCCTTTATCATGCGCTGCTTACTTTTTGGTTGTGTGAGCGGGTTGTGTGTTGTTGTTTCCATCCTCATTTAGTATGCTGATGTTTTTAAGATGACCTCTATATTGCTGGAAACTTAAATTTTAGTTCATACATTTGAGCAGCTGACTAGATTAAAAAATAATTTATGTAAGATTGAGGCCAGTTTATTTGGTAAGGTAGAAGAAAAATAGGATGAATACGCACATGTTATTACTGTACAAAGGCTAAACGCTGAATAACACTGATCGTTCTTTCCTGAGGTTGAGTAGGAGTGTATCCCTTTTCCTATAATTATGTCTCCGCAATTGCCGAAAGAATAGCTAGGTTCTAGAACAAACATGCTATGAATAATTGCATTGTTACTTCAGTGAAAAGTTCCTGGGCATACTATGTGTTCCTCTAGACTTGGTTGAAAGTATTTCTTTTGTTATCTCTCACTAGGTACCTTTGTTGATGAATGTTGCCTACAGGTTATATAGACTCACATGATTACCTGATGCGGATTCTACAACTTGGAAAACACATCTAGAATATTCAAGTTGTCTGTGGTGCCCTGGAGAAAGCTTGCTACTCCAATAAACCACCTTACACGAGAATCCAGAATTGATTTGTCATTTCATGTTTGCACTTTTAGAGTTTACCAACAACGCATCAAGGACAAAGTGTGTCATGGATTCCTAAGTTCCAGCTAACATAGCAAAATTGTATAGAGAGAATACCCGCATTTTGCTATTACATAGTTTGAGGCTATGTTTCTTGTAATTTTGATTATTAAAAGGATATCATTGCCAAATTATCAAGCATTTATTTATTTTCACATAACTCTTGATTTGAAATGGGACCTTGCCCCATTTGGCACAATGAGTAATGTTATTATATGTCTTATTGTAGACAGGAAGCCAACATTCTTATTGTAGACAACAAACCTTTGTTCTTTTTTTCGTTAAGAGGGGTTAAATTTGTTACCATATGTGCTTGCCCACAACTAAACTATGAATTTTCTTTTCAATGTACATATGGAGCTTGCCCACAACTAAACTATGAATTTTCTATGGATTCAATGGGTCTCTGTGCCCTTTTTGGCGATGGCACTCTTGCTCTAAAAAAAGGTTCTGTACCCAATTTTATTCCATAGGTTCTGGGAGATCCTTCATGTAAATGATAGCATGCAAAAATGTCATATATTTTGTGATGGAGGGAGTATTACTTATCCATGTTAACATTGTGAAGGATACGTTACATAGGGGAGAAACTTTATCACCAAATAAAGGCTTTGATATGCAAATAATTCTCTATTCAGATCATATACGCCTAAGTTGAGAAAAATAATGGCTTTAAGTTCTTTGTTAAATTGGGCTGTAGTTTCATTTTGCTTCAAGTTCTCAACTTTTGAATAAGGAAGATAATTACAATCATTCTTTCTCTTGCCTAATTACATCTTGATATTAGTAGGCTGAAAATGACATTGCATATTTTAAAAGAATCATTCATACCTTTAAGCATTATGAAGATACAAACAATTGCTACATTGGAAAACACTATTTTGCGGATAACTCTGGGTTTGAACTGGAACCTTGTGTCATTTGGCGCAATGGGTAATTTTGTTCACAGTACTTGCTTATGAAGTTAAAGTTGGCATATATGCCTGCCCATGAACAAGTCTATTGATACATGTTTTTTTAAAGCACACATGTTAGTGGGTCTCTGCGTCATTTGCGTACATGATTTCAAATGGGTCTCTGCGAACATGGTAGCAAGTATTTTGTGCTATGAAATTAAAATGTGTACATACATCTCATCGTAGACAACAATCCAACATGTTTCTTATTAAAGGGGACCAATCATGATTTTTTTTCATCGTGCACATGAATTGAGCGTGCCTCTGAGCCATTGGTCACGACGGGTCCATGATAACCATATTTTCAACTAAAACCATGCTTCCTTAGCTGGTCTGTACATGTTATACAATTTAAAAAATGAGCTCTCTACTATCGATATCGAATAGGTTCTTGCAAAATGAAACTATTTTCATCGACAACATGGCTTTAGTGGGTCTCTGCGCCATTTGGCGCAACGGGTCAACTAGTATAGATAAAATCTACTCTCATCGGAGGAGATGTTGATTACCCCCGTGCCAGAGGGGCTGGCCTCGTCAACATTTGCGGCAGATCGAATCCATGGCATCAAGGATATCCTGTCGGCATGCTCCTCCTCTCTTTTTTGTGAATGGAACTTGTATTACTCAACCCCCACGGTACAATCAGCGAGACACAAGTTCTCGAGGTTCTCCGGGCCAGAACAAAGCCAAACTGCAGTACGATTGCTACGCCTAGCATAACTAGCTAAGAAGTGACTAATATAGTTCTGGTCTCGCTTTACATTAGTAATGCAAGTCTCACGTGTGCTCAAGAGAGCTTTGATCTCCTCCACTATAGTCATGTGTCCAGAAAGATCTTGTTTCCTCTTCTTTAACATATTCACCATCTCCAAACAATCCACTTCTAGATGAATGGGGCCATCGCACCAATTCAGGGACAACGCCAAACCTTCCCTGGCTGCCATCAGTTCTGCTTCTAGTGCAGTTGAGCATCCGTCCAGACATCGGCAAGAGGTGAAGATGATTTTCCCTTGTTGGTCTTGTAAAATCATGCCTGTACTTGCAACCCCATCAGTAGTAAAAGAGCCATCTGTGTTTAGCTTAAACCAACCTGGATCAGGGGGATTCCATCGCCTACTGGGTGCCTCAAGAGATACTGAAGTTGGTTGCAGTTTTGAATTTCTGTCTAGACTGAACTTCCCCTTCACATAGTTCTCATTCGGAAAGTATTTGACCTGAACCAAAGAGCTCAGATAGCTGATTAAGAATCGGCAAGACACATCCAGTGGTGGAGGGATTTTATCATGGACAATCTCATTACGAACGAACCATATCCGCCAAAGAAGCATCAGAATCATATCAATAGTGTCCT